GTGTAGTTGAAGATTGAACGATCAATTCATGGTTGTTTGCTCAAACCCAACTCCATATTTTGGTGGGAGTCATCGATACTGCAGCCGTCGTTCCGTCGTTCGCTGTTCGTTGGAAGACGGAGAAAAACTATGAGAAGTATTATTGTGATTTATTGTTATGACATTTATTCTTAGACTTTGTGTACAATAACTGTCAATCACGTCTCGTAAACCGTCAATGCCCAGCTCTTGCTACGCTCGGGCTCACGCTGTTCCTTGAAGTTTCTCAGAAACGCTTAGTAATAACGGACGAAAAACCAAAACACCAATTGTTGACTCGAGGATTCTTTATTGTAACACCAACATATAAACACTGTTACAACTAAGGTCTGTGAACAAATATTACAATAATAAATCACAATATTCCTTCTGACGGTTTTCTGCTGACTTCTTTCTGAACAGCGACCGATGAGACGATGACTGTCGTATTGATGCCTCCGCGAAAATTGGGGAAGTTGGTTTTGAGCAAACAACAATGAATTGACCGTTCAATCTTCAACTACATTGACACTCCCCGGCAAAAAAGGGATCCAACCCTTTTTTCCTTCACGACCAATGCACGTTGACTTGGATGCCATTGCGAGAATCTGGGTCACATGGACAGAGTTGAAATGGAAAACAAACAGAAAAGCCAACACACCACAAGCATACTCACAGCACAATCTCACACATCAGTGACGACCTGCGCCTTCCAGTTAAAGGCATCCTCTTGCAACACAATGGCCACTTGCTAGAATGACTCTTGCAGAATGCAACGTGACCATAGCACCACTTCACGATACTCTACGCTCATCCTCTTATCTACTCACTACCAATTACCACTGAAATCGCTTGTCACTCATTCTGCCTCAGTTCTAGTAACGGTGACGTATGCAAGCCTCAGTCGTCTACACTCTCGCTCCCCGGCGTGTGGGACCACAGCTAACAATTATCTCCGTATGCATTTCATTCTCAGCAATAGCCTAGCCTCCCCGGCGCATACGACCCATCTGCTGTCTCTAACATCAATCAATTCATTCCCGGATGTAGAAGACTAGAAACAACTTCAGAAGTAATCACGACGAAAATTTTAACAAAATTATGCATAAAAACAAGATAAGAAAACAACGAGTAAACACAGTGGATCCAAAAACATCAATTGATAGGACACACCACACGTATATACAAACAGTACAAACAAACTCGCAGATCGTGTCTCGATGGAATTCCTTTGAAGAATCGCAGGACTTACACCAGTACGCCTACAACCCCTCTCATGTTGACGATTGTAAGTTGTGGAATGTCCGGACACAAACAAGATTAACCAACAATTACAATAATTGGAACTCACACAATTATTTAACACAAACATAAGTACAATCAACACATCAAATGTGGTGGATTCTGGCACGACAAACTACCCTTGAAGAACTGTAGGACTTACAGCAGTACGCCTACATTCCTTCTCAGGTTGATGATCCAAGTGGAAGTCGTCCGGACACAAACGGAATTACCAACAGCTAGATGACAGATGATATCATTTCAGTATATACAATATGAACATATGTACAAAATCACACACCAAGCACGTTGGGCTGCTTACTGATGCGCCAAACTTTGAAGAATTGTAGGACTTACAGCAGTACGCCTACAACCCTTCTCAGGTTGACGCCCTAGGTTGGAAAATCGTCGCAGAGTTCATTTGCTGATTTCCATCTATCATCTATATCCTCAAATCTGAACGGTAACACGTTTGGCGTGGATGGCATACAAGTTGGTGTCTTCGAAGAGACCAACGAAGTAGGCTTCACTGGCTTCTTGAAGAGCAGAAACTGCTGAGCTCTGGAAGCGCAAATCTGTCTTGAATTCCTGTGCAATTTCGCGGACCAGACGTTGGAAGGGTAATGTGCGAATCAATAATTCAGTGCTCTTCTGGTAACAACGGATCTCACGTAAGGCAACGGTTCCAGGCCTGTATCTGTGTGGTTTCTTAATACCACCGGTAGCCGGTGCACTCCTACGGTCAGCCTTGGTGGCTAGCTGCTTTCTTGGGGCCTTTCCACCAGTTGATTTGCGAGCAGTCTGCTTTGTACGAGCCATAGCGAAACACCGAGAGACGATGACTGTCGTATTGATGCCTCCGCGAAAACTGGGGAAGTTGGTTTTGAGCAAACAGCCGTGAATTGATCGTTCAATCTTCAACTGCATTGACAATAACCTAATGGTTGGCTCTGTAGTGGTGCAAGAATAAACGGTTCTTGAGTCACCAATTTGTATTCTGGTATTTTACGTTGGTTATTTAACATAGTTCCTGAAAGTCGTCTAAGGACAGTGTGAAATCCGGTGTAGATAGACCCGGAAATCGACAGGTGTATACCGAGTGACAGGACTGCAGGCTTAAGTTAGTTAGCTGCGAATGTTATTTTGAATAATTCACGCATATCTGTAGAGTCAGTGCATAGCCAACTCTTGTCTATTAGAAAGAAATTCTGCGGGTTTTGCGATTCAATCGTTTCTTTGGGATTTTTGTTGGAGCACACTCCCTGGCAGGTCTGACTAGTGCGGTCCATCCTTCGTTCCTCATACTCAAATCTCAGGCTTGTAAGGTGGACCTAAGTGTGATAATTATTAAACCTAGTGTGCCAAAGTCGTGTCTGAAGTAACTTGTCGAGAGTCCCTTCGGCTCCGTACGATCCTTTGGTTTGTCTAATGCATTTCTGTGTGGGGAAACTTTTTGTGTTTAGAGTAGAACGGCAGCATCTAAGCATGTGTTTGAGTTATGGTAGATGATGTTCAGAGCTCTCGAGAGGTCATCAGTAGTGAAGTATTCGCTTTATTCGGGGGATCATTTCATTTATTTTGAGAAAGCCCAGTTCGCCTTACTATAGTTCCTATATATTATGTATTGCAGCGTGGAGGTAGTATCTAGAGTGCCTGAAATTCCAGTTGATGATTACATTACGGGACGCATTGACGGCACTAGTAGATTCTATGAAGCACTACGAACTCGGGACCATTGGACGTCATGCTGGGATATAAATGTTTCAGTCCGTGTGATCGTCCCAGAATTTGTGTAGGCATTTGATACATTTCACCACTACTTTCTCCCACACCAAATACGTCAGGAAGGTAAAGGTGGGCCGCTTGCGTCATGGTTATAGGACTAAATAGATGAAAAGAAATTCTGCACTAGGGCCAGTCATTTTCTATCATCCTAAAGCAGATGGTCATCAGGAGTGCCGCAGGGCTCTATCCTTGTACCACTGATGTTATTAATTTTTACCATTGCTCTACCAGGCCGTTTAACTTGTCTAACTCTTATTTACACTGATTACGTAGAGATTTGTAGTGTAATTAAGTGTTTGGAAGACTAAGATAGGCTGCAGGCAGGGCTTAAGCTTCTCGGGGACCGGGGTGTGGTCAGTGGTATGGCCTCCAACCTGAGAAAGTGCAAGGTAATGAAATTATGCACCTGTAGGCTACAGAATGCAGGTTACACTGTGTACGACAAAAGCCTGTCATGTGCAACTTTAGATTGTGACTTAGATTTATTTATAACCGAAGAAAGTGAAACCAAGTGTGAATTACACTGTGGACGTCGTGAGGGCATATGCTGTCATACATTATACGCGTAGATAGTTAGGTCCACTTAGGCCTAATTTCATCCTAAGATCGTACAAAACATACGTGAAACCACACATCGAATTGCGGGCGTTGATAAGGCATATCCCCTATTTGAAGTTGTAAAAAGAGAGGTTGAATGATTCCTGACTGTCTTGACTACATAACATGGTAAGTTAGACTGAAGAATTTCTTAGAAATCGACAAGATATAGAATGACCAGGAGCATTCGTAATGTTTTACTTTATGTAAATGCAGTTACATACAGTTGCACTAAGAACTCAGCGCAACTCGATACACAATAGTATATATACAAATAAACTGAAAAAATAATGTCTTCCTTACCTTCTGAACAACTTGTCCTTATTCCAGGGTTATAATTTTTTTCACCTATGAGCCTGAGTTATGTCTACGAAATCACAATATTACATCAGTTAAATCTTCCCCCAATACCAAGGCCACTTGAAACCAATAGCAACATAGCAACAAGCGTCACTGAGAGGATATGCAATAAAGTCGCTCTCGAATTGCAAGTACCACCGTACATCTGATGCCTAGAATAGACTCGAGCCTTTCGGAAAGAGTTCAAAGACGGGCGAAAAAACAAGTGATGGGTCTCCGAAACAAACCATATGAGGAACGGCTAGAGAAATTAGGTCTTTTCACACTTAGCTAATGTCGGCTTAGAAGGGGATCTATTATTGCCTGTTGGATTACAAATGATGAGAATTACCCAAACAATGGTATCCTCTTGGGAATCCACGAAGGATAGCTCACCAGTGAGCAAAGATTCGAGTGCTCCCCCACTTCCTTTCACTTCGAGTCAGAACTCTGTGTCAGCAGATGCGACTAATGCACCTTTCGCGAATAGCCTTAAGCGGAGACTGAAAAACTGTGCAGTGGCACAAGGACTGTGTGTCCTAACGGCATGTCCCCCTAGAAATCACACACTATTTGGTAGACATCTAAGCCCATATCTTTACCTTCACAACTGTATCTACATTATTGTTATATCTCTTTTCGACCACACCGGATGACTAACAGGTGAAAGGATCAACTCCATTTACCGTAGCGAAACAATCTTAAGGCATCGCATACTTCAAATCAATTATAACCGATCCCAGCACTTTTTGAAGCCAGCCAAAGTTTTGACAATGGAGAGGCGGATAGAACTACGCAGAATTTGACTTAAAATCAGGAGCCCTTACCTTTCAACCAAGAAGCCACTACAAAGAAATAGAATTAGCTTACACTAACTCGTGAAAACGATATTGGACATGTACAAACTGAAACGACCTTTTGATAGCGCTAATTTTCAACGCCGTAACCACTGGCTGCAGTTATTGGTATGATGGAATCTGATGGTGCGTTTCCCTTTACTTCCAAACTTTTTGGTATGAAGATTCCAGTTTATAGGCCAATAAATATTCAGGAGGTTAAACTTATATCTACTAGAGACTAGTTGAAGAGTTTGTGTAATATGTTCGTTTAGGAGGTTTTATGATGAACCCGAGAGCCACAAGCATGAAGTCTACTAACGTTAGTATCTCCTTTCTCTTTTCACTCCATTAGCTTTTTGCGGTTGTCATGATGCCGCCGTTATGTACTAGTTATAATCTTAACAGCTGTGACACCCGGGTGTAAGCTTGGGCCAAAGCTTTCTATAATGCTGAATTAAGTCTCACTGATTCTGAAATAATTATAACATTCTATAGGGAGTAAATTCTGAATCTGTCTTAAAATGGGTTTTTCAATGGCACTGACTAGAACTTAGTGCTGGTTTTTAGCATAACTGGCACTAATTCAGCATCGTGTTCTTTTTTAGGCATGTTCAGGAGTAGATTGGAACCTCCTGGGTTTGGTTATCAGCGCTGTTCCAGCCCTCAAAGGACATATCAAGCACAGACTAGCGTTACTTCGGAACCAAAAGACTTAATTCAGCACTCAGCTCTCTTTTTAAGCACGACCAGCATTATTTCAGAACATAGTTGGTAGACAAAATCTTCATTGACGATAAAAAGGCATTATCCAATATCGTTTTTACGAGCTAGTATAAACCAATTTGATTTCTTTGTGCTTGCTTCTTGATTTTAAGGTATAGGTTCCTGATCTTCGGTAAAGAATAAGTTAGAATCAGTTTAGAATTGTTGTAAGCTTGGGACTTTCGCATGAGCTGTTGGCAGATGCTTGTCTCCACTTTTATTCTCTTCCATTTGGCTGGAAACCAAGATGAAATCTTATTTTATTTTGGAATAATTACTCACAACTACTTAAGTAGATCACCCATACTAAAAATGATGAAACTCTTGTACTTGATTCTGTCGAAGTTGATAGCTCCATCTATCAACAAATGGATAATGAAAATATGATAAAGTACATAATTTAATGAGTGATTTGTAATTAAGATGAGCATAGGAACGAGAGGAAATGTGATAGTATATACGAATTCAGAAGAAAACGCAAAAATTATAAAGGTTTAAAAAAACATACAATAAAAATCAAGTTGTTGTTACCGTAATAGTAGAAGTGGCTGAATAATTCTCTTACGTATGCAGAGCCCTGCTTTCTCTATCTAAATGACTAGAGGAAGTGAAAGCCTATTATCTTCGCTTTATAGATAACTTTGGAGGAGGAGTTTATTTAGATAGAGTGATCACTGTTGACGAGGTGTACATTTATCACACTCCTTAAAGAGCCACTGTCGTCCTTCTGAAAACATGTAGGATAGTGTTCTTGGACCATTTTAGATAGGATACGTGTTGAACAACCAATATACGCAACTCTACAGCAACAGGTGAACTGACATACGCACATAGAAGTGATCTGATATGAGATCTTGTTTTTCAGGCTTCTGCGGACCAGTGGACAACTGAACAACATTACTCTTACGTTTTCTGCAAAGAATGTTCTTAAAGATGATGAGATTTCCCTTTCGGGGATACTGCAGGTGGAGTCTTTCTTGAAATCAAGGTTCATGTGAAGTGTAATTCTTATTACAAATAATGTCTCCCTTTTCTGAACTTTTGATTTGATTTTCTGGTCGGTGAATCTCGGCGAAGATTTATTTCACGTCGAGTGATTCTTCTATAGCGTCAGCGCTACAGATGCATTGGATGTGAGTGTCAAGAAAATTAATTAGAGTTTGTTTCCGCTCAGCTAGCACTCAACTCCAGAAACTTGTCAGTTGACCGTTCCATTAAGATTTCCTATAGACAGATTTTAAGGTCCCATCGGTTCTCCTACTTAGTTCCCCATCAACAGTGGGAATTTTCGATTCGTTTTCCAATTCACTAGTGAATTTTATTGCTGGATGACAGTTGTTAAATACACGTAGCAATTGATTTGGGTCACAGTTACTGTCACAACTGGTGAATATGTCATCCAAGTACTTTGTATACAGTTGAAAATTATCAGCAGTAGACTTTAATGGACCGCTTTTAAGGTTTGCCATGAAACAGTCTGCTAGCAACGGACCCAAGATGGATCCCATTGAAATCCCATCCTTCTTTCTACAGATGGTGCCATTGAAAGTAAATTGTACACATAGAGTACACCTGAGCAGTAGTTGTTTCAAATACTTTGTTGGTATTCTAAGTTTTAATTGGCTTTTATCTATATGTTTGCACATAAAGCAGATAGTTTGCACTGGCGGAATGTTCGTAAAATGTGACTCACTGTCGAGTGGTAGCATACCTTTGTAAGGAGCGTTCATTTATGCTACGCAGTTGATGAGTTGAAAGGTGTCATGGGGCGAGTACATGCATACGTGTTTTCTTACAGATTCCAGAATAATATCAGCTATCCCTTTAGCATTTGAATGATAAGGTGAAGCTGAGATATATAGAATTAGACGGAGTGGTAGACGAACTTCTCATATCCTCGGGAAACCATAAAGCCTCAGTATTATTGAGTCCGTTGCTCAGATATGATCATAAATATCGTAGAGAATTAGTTAATCGGATTCATTCTTTTCAAGACATCCGTAAGTTGATTTTCTTTCGTCGAGCGATTCAGAAAATTTATTTTTGTCTGAAGGTATATTCTTCGTTTTCCCTGTTTGGTCTTTCCACTCCAAAAGAATTGCACCAGCACCCTTGTCAAAACGGTTCATTAATGGTCTTCTATTGTCTGAGTGTCGACGTATCCTGGCTAATTTTTAATTTATAGAAAGAATTTGCTGAAAAGAGCTCCTTCGCTGAACTACTTACATTTTTTCTTTTCGTTCATGCGTGTATGAGGATTATTCATATACCTATACTGCATTTAACAAATAAACTACCAAAATTTCAGTCCCCTTTGGTGAACTTCATGAAGAAAGTTTAAAAATTAGTAAAGGTGATTACTGTTCTGTATTGAACGTTTATGAAAGCGTTACACTAAATGGGATATTAAGTCCTGCAAAAGATGTGCAGTTTACATTAAGAGTTTTATTGATGGAAAATATAATTTAATAACTGAATACTATTCATGTTCGGTTAGTTGATTAGTATTATGTTTCAAAATCTGTTAGAGATACTTCTTTATTATTTTCTGTCAAAAAGCTGTGTATATGAGGCTCGACAGCAGTGTCAGTGGGTTTAACTCTACTTTGTGTATACATTTTTAGATTGCAATAATCAGCGAAGAGTTGTAACGTCGGTGAACAGGCTCATCAGAATTTGTTTGTCCGAAAAAGACAAATAATATGGTCAGAAACACAATGAACCTTAAATCATATAGATAATAGAATGGTTATATGGGTGTTCACTAAATGTCTTTTCAGTTGATATTGCGAAATTAGTCCTTGTTACAACTGAATCAGTTTATTCAGATGCCTTGAGTCATCATGGATAAGAAATTACTAAGTGAAGAAGCCGGCAATCAAAAGGTCTTTTTGTTTTCCACCTCCATTCTCATTTGCCTAATCAGACAGCTAGGTCACTTGTCGAAACGGTGAATCTTCGTCAATTTATTTTTTAAATGTCCAGCTTAAATGTTTAAAAGCGAGTAAGATCTCAAGTGCAATACTTATATGCATCCAGGAGACTATAAGTAATAGTATTTGTTACATGATGCTAGTCAAGACAAAAGTTTTCGTATATTCAACTTTATAGCCCAGGTTTCAGTGAATAAGCCATTAGTCTGTAACTTTACGTATCATTTGTAGTTTTGCCAGGTGTACTTATCCGTTCTATTATTCTACTGTTCTATCTGTCCGATAATTTCCATGAGAAAGTGGGTGTTTCATAAAACAAGTTAGAGTCTTTGTTCAGATATTACTCCTCTGAATAAGTACGTAATATATTTGTACTGTACTTAGTATTTCACCTTATTTTCTTTTTCAGACTTCTCAAACTATGGCTCTGTGTAATTTGATAGTTGTACATTTCTGGATCCTTAAGGAATTGATTTATTCAATTTCTTTGAAGCACATATTTTCAACTTCACTCTTGGGACTATTTTTATGGTATTTTGTGAAATCACTCTTGATTTCTTATCATCTTAAGACACAGCTAATTTTAAAGAAGGCAAATACTTCAGTTGGAGTTAAGAATATTAGAAAACGGCTCAATAATTCACACGAGGATTTTGACTGCTTACTGCATTACGTTGACAAAGATCTTTCTGAGTTGTATAATGATGTTAAAAGTGGGCATTTGGACCCAATTGATTTACTTCATATCTTTCAAGCTAAAGCTTTAAGTCTGTATGATAGTGGGAATTCAGGAATTGCTGAATTTATTCAGGAAGCAGAAGTTTATGCAAGTGAACTTTCTAAATCACGGAATGATTCAACCATATCGCCGTTATTCGGAATCCCCATTAGTGTTAAAGAGACTTGCTGTGTTTCGGGATATGATTCTACCTTCGGTCTGATAAAACGATGCAACCAACCGAATACTAAAGATTCTGTTTTAGTTCAGGTCTTAAAAAGAGTTGGAGCTATTCCTTTTGTGACTACTGTTACTACTCAACTATGTCGTACTCTAGATAGCTTTAATTCTGTATATGGCAATGCTTACAATCCTCTTTCCAAATTTCGAATGCCTGGAGGAAGCTCTTCTGGTGAAGCTGTATTGTTAGCTCTTCATGGTTCACCTGTGGGTATCGGTAGCGACATTGGTGGAAGTCTTCGTATACCTGCCGCATTCTGTGGCTTAACCAGTCTAAAACCAACGGTCCGAAGACTGAGTGTAGCAGGGTTGGCTTCAGCTGGAGGAAATTCAGTATTGTACTTGCAGCAATGCCCTGGACCTATTGGTAGGAAGGTGGAAGACTTAGCTCGTGTAATGCGTGCATTGTTGTGCCCCACAATGTTCGATTTGGATCCTTATGTTGTACCTATGCGTTTTAATGAGGATTTATATGGAGGAAAGATCAAACATAAGTTAGTAATTGGTTATTATTTTGACTTCGACAATCCTAATATTATGCCAGTTGTGGATATAAATCGACGAGTTGTAGAGGAGTCAGTTAAAGCACTAAAAAAGGCTGGACATCAACTTGTAAAGTTTACAGTTCCTCAACCTTTTGAAGCCTTTATTCTTGGCGTACGTGCCTTTTTTGTTGATGGAGGTTCCGAAATGAGAAAGAATTTAAAAGGTGAACCAGTTGGACGTCATTTACGTTCGGCGAATCACTTTGTTAACCTACCTAATTTTTTAAAACCCGTGGTAATTTCCCTTTCACGATACTTTGCTGGAATACCAGAGGAAATTATGCGTGTAATGCTTGGACTCAAGAATGCCCCAGCAGCAGTTGGTTTGATTTCTGAAATCAAAGCCTATCAGATGGAATTCGCAAGAGCTTGGAACGAAGCTGGTCCATTGGATGCACTGATATGTCCTGTATTTGCATATCCTGCACCTCCTGAAAATACTCCTACATCACTTATCAGTGCTCCTGGTATATATACATACCTGTACAATATTTTAGATTATCCTGCAGGAACAGTTCCGACTGGTTTTGTTAGTAAGAAAGACGTTCAAGATGCATTAGTTAAGTCTGAATCACTTTCCGCTGCCGGTGATGATCGTATGTCTAAAGTGTACAAACTACTGGATGGCGGAGAGAATATACCGCTTTCTATTCAAGTGGTTGGTAAACCATATCATGAAGAGATTGTTCTTCGAGTAATGCAGGATATAGAAAATTACTTTTCTTTAAGGTAGATTTATGTAACTGATGAAAACTATTAAATAGTGATTCTTTTCATACTGATATTTTTGTGTCACTGTCAGACATATTCACTTTATTTCAATATCATTTCATGACTTATTTGATTACATTTCATAAATAGTTATTTCTATCTATTTATTTCATAATGTGTCAATACAATTCATTTATACAGTGCAATATAAAACGTATTCGCACCACAAAATCCACTAGTTCATATTTATTGATAAATAATTCCAATGTACAGATAACGATTAATTGTATGTTTAAATGACATTTTCAGTAAAATTAGTTCCTTGAGTTTAAAGTTTAATCGACGTGCTACAAATAATGCAATTGACTGATATTGTCTGTGTTCATATAATACTTATAACATACCCCTTTTATAAACCTACAATTACATTATTTCTAGGTTGAGTCAGAGATCTTCAGATCTCACAATGAATGCGTTATATTACAGTTGGTATGTTAAAATATATTATAAAGGCAAGTAAGTGCATACCAGTACTGTTAATGTGAGCATTATTAAAGCGTTTCGACGTTATCTATAAATGAACTAGTTAGTGGAATGAAGTATTTAATAAGCCTTTCTATAAGTATAGATTCGTTGAAGTAGTACTATGTCGTCCTTTGAATGAAAAGTGATGTGTAGTAAATCTATGCCCACATGTTTGCTGTCATCTTGTGTTGGGTTTATTAAAACCGTTTTTTTGGTTAATACATATAGCTAATTCACTAGTAACTGCATTCATCAGCTATTATTGTCTAATCATCTTGAAACTTAAGTCAATTATCTTCGTGACTGTCTTTTTACAAAGGCCTTGCTAAGCAATTACAATGGATTTTAAGAAAACATCGGATATACTGAAGAGTTCTTTAATAATAATAAAAATTCTCATTTTTGTACATGAGGGACGCCAGTTTACAGGCATAATCAATTCGATAAATTACACATACGATTAGTAAGCATATTTGGTAAAGATAATATAATAATGTACATATTTTTTCCTCGCTATGTAGGATACACCAATTGTATAGGCATGCATAAATATTATTTCAATTACACGATTTACGGTTGCTGTCATTTTGTCTTTAGTTTGTGGAAAATACCTGATAACTAGTGATTCAATAGATCACATCAGGAGATATAGGGATATTGACTTCGCATTAACAAAAAAACCCAAGTATTCGTTGGATGGAGTACTGATACTTGGGAAAATAAGTAAAGCTTGAAGTCAATTTCCTAATATAACATTAAAATGAATCACAAAATGTGGACAACCACTCATCTGCAGAATATATTGTGTCTTAAAGGTAAACTGTGACACATACCATATTTGATAACCATTAAATCTGATTTCGAGTTGAAGAATATGTAAAAGCTACACAAAAACCTGCCAAATCAGAAAAAAACAGATTAAATCCTAAACAGTGAGTGAAAGGCACATTTAGCTACCGAAAAATCGATTCAACAAATATCGAAATAGTTAAGATATGTTTCCTGAATCATAATCGAAATAAATATTGCTAAATCGTAGTGTTTCCTCAAGAGAAAAGAAGTCGTTACCATCCCACCAGACTGCAGCTTATGTTATATTCGAATCTGTCATACAAAGCAAGGCCCATTTCCATCGTTATTAGCTATCTTAGACCCTCCTCGTTGTTCTTCCAATGTAACTGCTCCCGCAGATACATGTGAATTGATATACACATTTGGAAGTAACATGTGAGGGGTACTTGTCAATCTTTGACTGCACCAATGAGGAGGTTGTTTGGGAAAGAGAGACTAATGGTCCTGCAGAATACGTCCCAGACAGGGCTGCGCTTAATCTCTTATTTACCATTCTTATAATGTCGTCGCTCTTGTAGTCAAGTTTGATGAAAATAGGCTTCTTACTGGCTGTAGCTGTTGTATTAAGCTTCTTGAGTGTTCATTCTTGCCACTTTGCTAATGAAACTTTGTGGGTAACCATTTTATTTCAAGCATTTTTCAAGAAGCATTAGTTCACTGTCTAGTTTTTTTGATGAACAAATTCTCTTCGCTCTAGAGAAAAGTGTTTTCACCAGTGTTCGTTTGTATCTCACTGGTCAGAAGCTGTTGAAATTCAAGTAATGACCACTCCTGTGTCTTTACGGTATACAGATCTTTCGAATGTCCCGTCATAGTTTCTCTCCAACTTTATGTCCAAAAAATGGAATTTTTTATTATCTTCATGCTCCATCGTGAAAGTGATGCTTTTGTGTACATTGTTAAAAGAGTCTTATAGAGACGAAGCATGACTCAAATCATTGCATACAATGAATCTGTCATCAGCGGATCTATAGTACGGTGTTGTTTCGCCAATTGCACACTTGAGCTTTGTTTGTTCCAAACTGGCCATAAAAATATCAGCTAATATCGGACCAAGTGGGCTCCTCATTGCCACTTCATCAACCTGGCGATACAGTTTCTTGTCAAACTGGAACTGTATATCATTAATACATAACACGAGAAGCTACTTAAATTCTAGTTTTGGTAGAGGAAGAAAATCAGAGTGTTGACAGATGATGTCTATTGTCTCATGCAGAGGGATCTGGGTGAATAGAGAAGTCACATCGAAGGAAACCATGATTTTGTCATGTACATTGAGTTGATTAAGCTCTTCAACAAATTGGAACGATTCGTTTAGTGTATGTTTAGCTAGACGTTGTATGACAGGTTCTAACTTATTGGATAACCAGAGAGCAACTTTGTGAAAGGTTGAATTCACTATTGAGAGTATTGGTCTCATTGGGGAATTCTTTTTATGTATCTTCGGCAGACCATACATATATGGTAGACGAGACCCCGTGGGTTTTAACTCATTTTACGATTGACTGTCAATCATTTTCTTTTCCAGCAACTCTCTGAGTACTTTTGTGACTTTGTTTTCTGCTGAATCCGTCATATCCTTCTTTCAGTTATCAATCTTAAATTTCGATGTGTCATTCATAATCGACTCAATTTTTGGACATATTCAGCCTTGTTCATCGATACCACGTCGGAACCTTTGTCTGGTCGCAGTATGACGATATCTTCATTGTTGAGCAGACGTTTAATTGCTTTTCGGTGTTCTTTCGTCATAATTCTAGAATCTTGACTTGGTGAGCATAAGTACTGGATAGAGATATCAACTAGTCTTGATTTGAACCAACCTTTTTTATCTTCACTAACGGGATGTAAGTCGGTTAACTGGTTGAAATAAGTTCTCGAATTGGGCTTCTGTGTCTACTTTATTGACAAATTTTCTCGGTACATGGAACTTGAAACCGAGTGAAAGTGCCGCAATTTCAATTTTATTTAGCTTTACAATTGACTGATTGATAACATATTATTCGGGGTTTTCCGCAAAGCTTTCAAATAACTATTCTTTCAGTAATGTCTTCAATAGGGCTGTGAAGAAGATTTCAGTTGTTTTGTTTTGAAGATCTCGAATGAAATTTATGAATTTGGCTCTGCATACGATGTTAAAATCATTGACAGTGTTTTCAAAAGAGCTAGCTTCTGTTTTCAGCTTCGTAATCAGCCGTTTCGTTGATTTAGTATTGGATTTTGTTAAGCGTCTGAGATTTTTCAATGAAGGAGGATGTTTACAAGAACGAAGGATTTTTAAAAAACTGACCAGGGAAACAGCAGAAGCGTAGACATTGATAATAAAATTCTAGTCGAGTAACCGGCTTATATTCTGCAGCGTGAGGTCACTATTTCATTCAGCAACTTGAACGAAGTAGCAGAGAGACGAATTTTCAAAAATTTCATACAATAATTCCCCATCATAAATTTAAAAAATGAAAGAAGAAACACTGGCGCAGAATAATCTGGATCCATTTTCATTCGTTGATTCTCATCATCTGCCCACAACCTGAATTCTTCAATTAAATAAAGAGTGTAACATTGCAACAAACAATCTCCTTGCTAATGGACAAAAGCTTCTAAAAGTTATTCCGACTGATTTCAATTTCGTCTTATGAGATCGCCTTTACATACAGAGGAAGCCATAGGAATGCACATCTGGAAGTCTAACCTTTGTGTTCTACACAAATTCATTCAGACACTCATCCTACCTTGATCGTAAGCAATATAACTATTGATATATGCCTAAAACTTGGGCACTGTGGTAGTAAGTAATTCCATATTAGTTTGTTTATTAGATGTATCACACAGTGAAACAGTATTATTTACTGGATGACGAGGTTTTGAACAAAATTTATTGTTTATAATCATATCAATTGTAATCACACGACTTTTAAACTTGAATTTTATAGTTAGGAGAAAACGAAGAAAACTACAAAACTCAAGTTTAAAATTAGTGTGATTACAATTCATTTAATTATGAACAACAAATTTTGTTCGAAACATTGTCATCCAGTAAATAATACTGTTTCACTGTGTGATACATCCAATAAACAAACTAATATGGAATTACTTACTACCACAGTGCCCAAGTTTTAGGCATATATCAATAGTTATATTGCTTACGATCAACACTAAGCTGAATGAAAATCAGAAATAGGATGTCTATATTTGACAGAATTTCCCACTTTACTTATTCATTTGTAGCACAACCTACAGTATTCATAATTTGTTAAAACCAGTCAATGGATGATGAACAGTTTGGTATATTCACTAAATTAACACGTGATATATGAATAACATAAATACACCTCAAATATTAACATATTTGCATCCATTATGCCTTTGTGAACGAATCTACCAATTTTAAAGGATTAGTTTGCAGGGATTTGATTTATTTCAGGTTTGACTACAGATTAATTTCAGTTGGAAAAGTATTGGAAACCATAGAGTACTAGGCAGTTGTCTCCTCCTAGTCTGAGTTTCATGAGCAGTACACACTCGTCGACATTCACGAATTGGTAGAAGTTAGAATTCATAGGCAGTTGAGTCGGGTCACAGTGGCTGAATGGTTTACAAGCTTTTATTATAAATACAAGGTGCTGAGTTTGAAACTTGACGTGT